GCCCCCTCCCCACCCCTCCAGGCGGTAAGCGACGGCTCGGATTTCAATCGTCGCCTCTCTCGTGGCATTCGGCGGTTCTCGCTCCTCTCTCGTTATCCACCATTCGCCACGCCCTTGACTCCCGCGGCGGCCCTTGCTCCGAGTGCGGCCTAGCGCTCGTCTTCGGACGGCGAAGGCGGGGTCGATTGCGTGGCCTAGGCGGCGTTCACTGCAGATGCTGTCTCTAAGCAACTTCAACTCGCTCAAGGTGTGAGTTTCTGTCTCAACGAACCTCTGAATTGAAGTAGCGTGACACGGAAGGAGCAATCGTTAGAAAAAGGAAGAGGAAGCTTCACGTCAAGAACTTAATTTGACGTTGGGAATATATGCAATAATTAAACACAAGTATATTGAACAATAAATTATCTACTCTCATACCTTGATGTACCGCGAGAGAAATTCGTGATCAATAATATCTAGTAAGTTATCTTAAAACGCAAGACGTCTGTTCATTCGTAATTCTTTAGGTACTGTTCTAGGATTAAAATTTATCTGCGCTAGCCGAGATAAGAGAGGGGGCACTGTTATACAATCGGAAGCGACAATTGTTTAAATTAAAGCTCCTGATTGGATATCAGAGCCCCTTTCGTAACTCAAGTGTAGAGAAGTGTTAATCGAAACGATCGAGTATATATGGAATAGAATAGATAAGATAATAGAATGTGTATAGACCTACCTAAAAATATACCCAAGAAGCAACACCCCAATTTGATAGTGACGGGAGAGTAATACTATGACCTCTTGCTTGGAAGGAGACTATACAGCAAGAGTCAAGAATATACTGTCTGGGCTAGTTCATAGAATGATCTAAAATATCCCGTCACTCGCTGCATCCTAATTCTATAAATATTGATTTCTTGTTCAGGACTTAATTTAGTAAGAATTAATTTCAAGTACCGCTCCTAATCTGCATCACATTGCATTATATAGTGCAACAGGAAGTCGTGCTCAGAAGATCTGCGAGGTTTCGTGATGAGCTTAGTATGTTTGGCACCCGCAATCATTAAACCGCCTCTGTAGTAGTATTTGCTGATACGATCCCGTATCCCTTATTGCTGCAGTCACATTCGTAATCGACGTTCTCTCAGCCGCCACCCTGCGGCCTTGGTTGCCGCGATGACGTCAGCAGAGGCGGCGGCGACCGCCCCCCTCAACCCCGCGCCGCCGCAGCCAGACGCGTCGATATTCAGAGCGACCCC